GGAATGTGAATAGATAAAAGGGAAATTGTATGCAAATGCACATCATGAAATGTAATTTCAAGTATAATTGTATTTTAATTACACATGATGCATAATTCTTCTATTACAGTTACTAACTAGAGCATCCAAGTAGTTTAGGAATCTGCAACCTTTTTAAAATTGCAGTTCTTTATGATTTTGTTGGCTACATAGTGAAATATATGCTGTGAAGCTTCATTGTGTAGAGATGAGTTTCTCAAAAATTTCTTCTTAAAGTAGTCAGTACAAAGAGTTTAGTTCTGGCTCTGTCTCTTTATATGCAGGCTTAGAATACAAGGTTTATCACTGTCAGCAGTAGCCTCGGTGTTACAGATTTTCTTGAATACTTTGCCATTCTCGGCTTCAGTAAAAACCACAGGGCATCCACAGCTGCCTAATTCTGTGGCTATTTCAATTAGAAGGCTCGGGTGGAATTAGTTTGCAAGAATTCTTGTTGTAATTGAGTCACAGTTGAAATATGCAAAAAATGCTTGTGGAGAAAATAGAAAAGAGAGAGGGATTACCAACAATTGGTACAGGTGGTGTTCTGCCCCAAGGCTCTGAATATACTGTTGAGAATGGATTTTGGTCTTGGATTGCAGTGTGGGAAAGAAGAGTTTGTTTCCGTTTGTTTCCATTTCTAGAACTGAAGGTTATCCAAATGAAGTTTGGCAAACTGATTTCTGAGAGGTACCACAGCCAAAATGAGGGAAGCGTGTTGATAGGCTAATACATTGACTAGCATTTTCTTTCCTCTAACCTGCTAGCAGTCAGTGGATGATGCAAGAAAACAAACCATTCAAATTGTGAATGGCTTTGAGTACAGGTTGGGGGATTGAACCTGGTTTAGAGAAGCTTCCAGAGAAGTTCAGGTGTTTTTTATAATCATATGTTTAAGAGCTGTCTTTTATGAATGCATGGGGAAATGAGAAAAAGGGAAGGAATTGAAGGGAAGGAGCAACTTGATTTTTGTTGGGTTTTTTTGGGGAATGTGTATGTGGAATTTGGGTTGGTTTGGGGTGTTTTGTAAGTATTAGAGCAAGAAGCACAGTTTCCACACAGTCAAAGGGAGTGACAAGGGAAAAGAATCATCAGACTGTTGATAGATGATCAGAATCAAGAGTTACGGTGAGGAAGCTGACAAAGATGGCAGGAGTGTAAAAAGATACTTTTCTCCATTCCCAAGTCATAAATGTAAGTGAAAATATTTCATTACTTGTAGGAGAAGTAGGATACTACTGGGCAGCCGTTTTGGCTACTTATCTGCTATGAATTGGTAGTTAAAAGTACTACTGCATTTGAAACTGTACTGTCTTTTGATGTTTTTTACCATCCTCTGGAGTGCATTCCTGTAGTGGATAATGCTACCGTCTTTTGACAAAGAGAATCTATCATGCTTGTTATTTTCTGGCAGGAAAAAAAAAAATCTTGCTTGTTTGTTGTAATAAAGGAAGTGAAGGAAGAGAGAATAAAAACATTAATTAATGCTGTTGTCCTTGATTCATCCTATGTTATCACAAGTTCAAATGAGATGTACTGTAAAGCAGAACAACTGTGGTGAGCTGTTTAGGACACTGGTGAATTGATAGTATTTGCTTCATAAAGCAGTGTGATGTTTCTTGAGACTGATTTGGACACTGGCAACAGGATTAATTAGGGGTCTACATATTGTGTGCCTGGTTCAACGTGTTTGACTTACAGGCTGGCTATCGAGGCTTCCTAAAACTAATGGAGACCTTAATTTAATAGTAGTCTTTATTACTTACAGAGTTGCATGAGAAGTGCCAAGTGTGCTTTATCCCAGATTGATGCATTTGGCGACTTAGTTTCCATAAATGTGGATAGATACTAGTCCCGTCAGTTCTGTTATCTTAAAAACATTCAGAATGTTCATTTACTTTCTTATCTGAAAAAAAAATTAAGATCTTTTGCATCCTGTTTAATAATTTTCAGGTTATTAGTCAAATCTCTGTGGTTTACTAGCTTTTACAATGTATTCAGTAGATATCTTGACTTGCACCATGTAGTAAGAATTGAACTTACCTTCTTTGGGCTTTTTCTGCAGTTCCTTTCAGATTATCCCTCGGGATTGTGTCTGGATTGAATTAATCAATGAAAGGGCAAGATGTATCAAGTAGATTGTTAACCAATAACTCAATCAGTTGTGTTTCTGCTACCTTTAAATGATGATTACCTGAGTGCCATAAGATTTTGCTGAACTTGAATGTATTGTTAGGGTAGTAAATGGATTTTAAAGAGTAAGAGTTTGCTGCCCTCAAGTGGTTAAAAAGATCACAAACCTATTTCTTCACACTTGGCTTAGCTTAATAGTTTATCACTAAAAAGTGACATTCTGTTACGAGTTGAAAGCAGGAAAGAGAAACAGGTGGAGCAGAGAGTTAGTACTCCAGTTAAGGAAAAACATTCATAGGCATTATAAAGGGGAGGAATCTGAAAAAGATAGCGAGGAGGAAACAACTTATGGTTGGTTTAAACCAGTCAAGACTACAAAAAGGTGCAGCTATTTTCTGTGCTCCAATTCTACATTATTTTCAGCATACACAAATGTGAGATGATGGAGAGTGGAGACTAACGTTCTATTTTACGCAGCTGAGATCTTGAAAAATTAATGAAAAGTTGCCCTTGAATTTTCTATTCTCTGATGTATTTCTTAAAGGAAAATATCTAATCTGACACATGAAGAATAACAGTAGAGTAATGCACTTTTGAATTCTCTTGCTTTTTCTAGTAATGTGGTTACAGGAGTCTGATGAAAAAGATTCAAGACTTGAAAACGACGGTAAGGAAGAAGGAATATAGAAGTAGGGATAAGTGGAGTCAGCGACTGCTGAATATGTACAGTAGTAGCCAAAGGGTCTTCTGGGTGCATCTCTTTGCGTTGCACTTGCGTTGTAGGTGTTAATAGTACTTGAAGTGAAAGGACGGGGAATTTGAAGCAGAAAGGTGAGGGAAGGAGAAAAAACCTGAAGAAGGGACAGACAGAATGACACT